TGAGCTGCCCCCAGTGTCCAGAGAAGCCTTCAATGACCTGGTCACCCAAGTCCAGAGTCTCATCCAACAGGTGACCTCTCTCTCTTTCTCTCTATCTCTATCTTTCAATATATCTTATCTATCTATTTTTTAATATATATCTATCTTTGAATATATCTATGTTTATCTGTCTGTATATCTACCTATATCTCTATATCTATCTATATCTATGTCTATATATATCTATACCTATATATCTATATCTATGTATCTATCTATCTATATATCTTTATATATATATAATTTATATTATTTCTATATCAATTTCTGTCTATATATCTATCTATTATTATCTATGGGTTTAGTCCTTTCAAGGAAGGTGCCTTCATGTTGTGGAAGGGCTCTTGATCCAAGGGATTGGGGATTTCCTTTTGTTTTTATTTCTATCGGATTGAACCTGATTACCTTGCATTTCCCAGGTGCTGTATGATCCAATTAAGAAATTTTGTTCAGACTTTTAATCCAGAGGGTTAGCCATCCAGAATAACTCAATAATGCCAGTGAATCAGTAGACACTGTCTGTGTTATTTCTTTTGTGATCCTTTAATGTAGTCCCCCAGGATGCTACCCACGCCATTCGACTAGCACCCAGGTACCTACTTACTGCTAGGTGAACAAGGACAGCAGGTGTAAGGAAACATTCCCAGTGTTTCCATCTGTGCCAGGAGTCGAATGATGGGCACTCAGTATGTGACCTGAGTGTGTTATGGGTTTATTCCCCTCAGGGGGAATAAACTTATCACACTGATGGTTAATGATATAGTAAAAACAAATATTTTATTGTAGGCTTTTTTGTCTTTGTTGTACAGGTTTATACATTTGACGTGTATACGCAAAACATTATGGAAGTGATACCTAGTATTAATATTGTAAGACAGTGTTAGAAACTTTATATTTTCAGTTGATGTACGTATGTGAATAGTTGGGGTATGTGGATTATAGTGGGGTAGTCACCTTGGGAATGGGAGAGTTAATCAGGTATAACTCGTAGAAAGGAAGAACAGCTCCACTTCCTTGAAAAAAAAGAGCCGTTCACTAGCATAAAGACAGCCCCTGGCTTTTTTAAGGCTGTAATTTATATGGATTAAGTTTTCTAAGTTGTATGCTTATCATCTCTTTTGTCTCTGTTAATGTGACCGTGATAGGTGTGGGGTTCAGTGGCAAAATTAATACGTCACTATTGCATATGATACCATACTGTGCTACAAAAACTTGACTTTTCAATTTGGTAATGATTTATTTCTTCCAGCTTGGTAATTCTTTTATTAATAAAAATTATCTCCCTTTTTTTATACCATATTTAAAATTTTTCATTTACATCCATTGCTCCTTTTATGTGTTTACGTATGAAATTGAATCAATCTCTGCATTCTGAGTTACAAAAAAATAATTTTTTATGTTTTTCTTTAGCCAACAGGTGATGCCCAGACAAAAATACCTTGCAGACCGTGTAAGAAAACATTTTCCAATCAGAATGCCTATGATAATCATATCAAGTCAAAGAAACACATGGAGGTGGTCAGTTCACGTGAAGAAGGTAATTTCACTAGTTTTAAAATGCAATACAGTTGTTTGAGTTGTGAATATACTTAGTACTTAAAGCTGGGAAAATAATGCTACTGTATTTTGCCATTGGTGTAATTTTCCAGTATAGACAAAGGCTTGTATTGCATTTCTTAAACTTTTTTAAAAGGTGTGGGGAACTTTCCTCTAGCCTTTCAGCTATAATTTTTAATAGGTTGCTCTTATACATACCTAGCTACAGCAGTTCATAAGTTAAACTTTTGACACATGAACATTTCCAGATACAGTGTATCATTTCCAAATCATTCTGTCCTACACTACCTGATTGTTCAGCTGTTAATGAATGACTTGGAACTCTCTTCCAGAAATGCAAAAAAAAAAAATTCCTTTCCACCACTTGCCTCAAAAATACATAGTTAAAAATTGCCTTTATGGAAATGTTGACTATCATCATCATTATTATACCACATTAACTCTTCCCACATTCAAATGCTTCCAGTAATGACTAACAGAATGTGAGGTAAGATTTATTGTAGTAATTTTTATATAATATTATTCAATAGTAAGTAAAAATATTGATTGACAAATTTAGAGGTGTCTGAAATATTACCCTGCTTGTTCTTTATTTTCTCATTTCATAATACTACTGTATTTTGCATAATGCCGTGATTTTCTGTAACTTAACTTGTGAGATATGAGAGGACTGACTGTGTAGACTATGTGATGTATATTAGTGTCAAGGGCATTTGCCTGAGAGGGTCTCTGTAGACTGCAGATACCTTGCAATAAGATGTTTGAGCACTTCAATTTCCAGTAAGATTTGCATTGATTTTAGTATTTTGATAAGAGCAATATGAGGATATGCTTTTTAGACATACAAAAGATATTTACCCGAGCCTTTTATTCTATGGGTGCTTAAATACCTATTTCTGAATTTCCCTTTTAATTGCTATACTGTATTATCCATCATTACATTGTCTTTGCAACAGTATTTGAATGGAAATAAGTCACTCTGTCTGACTTTTTTGGGTTATCCTTGGTTCTCTACACATATGCTGCTATGTATGATAATTCTATGTAACTGTATTTGTGTATACCTGAATAAATTTACTTACTTACTTACTTACTTAGCTTAAAATAATTATTTGCCAAATATTTAACAGCTTTTATAGTACTCTTCAGCTCATGACAATATGTACCTTATTTCAACTTAGTGAATGTGGTTAGTAACTTTTTTTTATACTTTTTTCTTTCTGTATATAATAAACTTGTTCAGATCTTTCTTCAAACATACTTGTGACATATACATGTACAGTATACTGTACTTATTTATTTTTCAATGTTTTTTCCACAATGTTTTTTACTATTACAAATTCTCATTCATTGCCATTTAAATATAGGTAGTAGGTTGGTAGACAGCAACCACCTAGGGAAGTACTACCGTCCTGCCAGATGACTGTGAAACAGAAACCTGTAACTGTTTTGCATGATGGTAGGATTCCTGGTTTCTTTTTCTGTCTCATAAACATGCTAGATAACAGGGATATCTTGCTACTCCTACTTACACTTTGGTCACACTTCACAGACATGCACATGCATATATATATATATACATACATCTAGGTTTTTCTCCTTTTTCTAAATAGCTCTTGTTCTTCTTTATTTCTTCTATTGTCCATGGAGAAGTGGAAAAGAATCTTTCCTCCGTAAGCCATGCATGTTGTATGAGGCGACTAAAATGCCGGGAGCAATGGGCTAGTAACCCCTTCTCCTGTAGACATTTACTAAAAAAGAGAAGAAGAAAAACTTTATAAAACTGGGATGCTTGAATGTGCATGGATGTAGTGCGGATGACAAGAAACAGATGATTGCTGATGTTATGAATGAAAAGAAGTTGGATGTCCTGGCCCTAAGTGAAACAAAGCTGAAGGGGGTAGGGGAGTTTCGGTGGGGGGAAATAAATGGGATTAAATCTGGAGTATCTGAGAGAGTTAGAGCAAAGGAAGGGGTAGCAGTAATGTTGAAGGATCAGTTATGGAAGGAGAAAAGAGAATATGAATGTGTAAATTCAAGAATTATGCGGATTAAAGTAAAGGTTGGATGCGAAAAGTGGGTCATAATAAGCATGTATGCACCTGGAGAAGAGAGGAATGTAGAGGAGAGAGAGAGAGAGATTTTGGGAGATGTTAAGTGAATGTATAGGAGCCTTTGAACCAAGTGAGAGAGTAATTGTGGTAGGGGACCTGAATGCTAAAGTAGGAGAAACTTTTAGAGAGGGTGTGGTAGGTAAGTTTGGGGTGCCAGGTGTAAATGATAATGGGAGCCCTTTGATTGAACTTTGTATAGAAAGGGGTTTAGTTATAGGTAATACATATTTTAGGAAAAAAGAGGATAAATAAGTATACAAGATATGATGTAGGGCGAAATGACGGTTTGTTGGATTATGTATTGGTAGATAAAAGACTGTTGAGTAGACTTCAGGATGTACATGTTTATAGAGGGGCCATAGATATATCAGATCACTTTTTAGTTGTAGCTACACTGAGAGTAAAAGGTAGATGGGATACAAGGAGAATAGAAGCATCAGGGAAGAGAGAGGTGAAGGTTTATAAACTAAAAGAGGAGGCAGTTAGGGTAAGATATAAACAGCTGTTGGAGGATAGATGGGCTAATGAGAGCATAGGCAATGGGGTCGAAGAGGTATGGGGTAGGTTTAAAAATGTAGTGTTGGAGTGTTCAGCAGAAGTTTGTGGTTACAGGAAGGTGGGTGCGGGAGGGAAGAGGAGCGATTGGTGGAATGATGATGTAAAGAGAGTAGTAAGGGAGAAAAAGTTAGCATATGAGAAGTTTTTACAAAGTAGAAGTGATGCAAGGAGGGAAGAGTATATGGAGAAAAAGAGAGAGGTTAAGAGAGTGGTGAAGCAATGTAAAAAGAGAGCAAATGAGAGAGTGGGTGAGATGTTATCAACAAATTTTATTGAAAATAAGAAAGTTTTGGAGTGAGATTAACAAGTTAAGGAAGTCTAGAGAACAGATGGATTTGTCAGTTAAAAATAGGAGAGGAGAGTTATTAAATGGAGAGTTAGAGGTATTGGGAAGATGGAGGGAATATTTTGAGGAATTGTTAAATGTTGATGAAGATAGGGAAGCTGTGATTTCGTGTATAGGGCAAGGAGGAATAACATCTTGTAGGAGTGAGGAAGAGCCAGTTGTGAGTGTGGGGGAAGTTCGTGAGGCAGTAGGTAAAATGAAAGGGGGTAAGGCAGCTGGGATTGATGGGATAAAGATAGAAATGTTAAAAGCAGGTGGGGATTGGCAGAGAGCATGCATAGTTCCTTTGTATAAAGGCAAAGGGGACAAAAGAGAGTGCAAAAATTATAGGGGGATAAGTTTGTTGAGTGTACCTGGTAAAGTGTATGGTAGAGTTATTATTGAAAGAATTAAGAGTAAGATGGAGAATAGGATAGCAGATGAACAAGGAGGCTTTAGGAAAGGTAGGGGGTGTGTGGAGCAGGTGTTTACAGTGAAACACATAAGTGAACAGTATTTAGATAAGGCTAAAGAGGTCTTTGTGGCATTTATGGATTTGGAAAAGGTGTATGACAGGGTGGATAGGGGGGCAATGTGGCAGATGTTGCAGGTGTATGGTGTAAGAGGTAGGTTACTGAAAGCAGTGAAGAGTTTTTACGAGGATAGTGAGGCTCAAGTTAGAGTACATAGGAAAGAGGGAAATTATTTCCCAGTAAAAGTAGGCCTTAGAGAAGGATGTGTGATGTCACCGTGGTTGTTTAATATATTTATAGATGGGGTTGTAAGAGAAGTAAATGTGAGGGTCTTGGCAAGAGGCGTGGAGTTAAAAGATAAAGAATCACACATAAAGTGGGAGTTGTCACAGTTGCTCTTTACTGATGACACTGTGCTCTTTGGAGATTCTGAAGAGAAGTTGCAGAGATTGGTGGATGAATTTGGTAGGGTATGCAAAAGAAGAAAATTAAAAGTGAATACAGGAAAGAGTAAGGTTATGAGGATAACAAAAAGATTAGGTGATGAAAGATTGGATATCGGATTGGAGGGAGAGGGTATGGAGGAGGTGAATGTATTCAGATATTTGGGAGTGGACGTGTCAGCGGAGGGGTCTATGAAAGATGAGGTGAATCATAGAACTGATGAGGGGAAAAGGGTGAGTGGTGCACTTAGGAGTCTGTGGAGACAAAGAACTTTGTCCATGGAGGCAAAGAGGGAAATGTATGAGAGTATAGTTTTACCAACGCTCTTATATGGGTGTGAAGCATGGGTGATGAATGTTGCAGCGAGGAGAAGGCTGGAGGCAGTGGAGATGTCATGCCTGAGGGCAATGTGTGGTGTGAATATAATGCAGAGAATTCGTAGTTTGGAAGTTAGGAGGAGGTGCGGGATTACCAAAACTGTTGTCCAGAGGGCTGAGGAAGGGTTGTTGAGGTGGTTCGGACATGTAGAGAGAATGGAGCGAAACAGAATGACTTCAAGAGTGTATCAGTCTGTAGTGGAAGGAAGGCGGGGTAGGGGTCGGCCTAGGAAAGGTTGGAGGGAGGGGGTAAAGGAGGTTTTGTGTGCGAGGGGCTTTGACTTCCAGCAGGCATGCGTGAGCGTGTTTGATAGGAGTAAATGGAGACAAATGGTTTTTAATACTTGACGTGCTGTTGGAGTGTGAGCAAAGTAACAATTGTGAAAGGGTTCAGGGAAACCGGCAGGCCGGACTTGAGTCCTGGAGATGGGAGGTACAGTGCCTGCACTCTGAAGGAGGGGTGTTAATGTTGCAGTTTAAAAACTGTAGTGTAAAGCACCCTTCTGGCAAGACAGTGATGGAGTGAATGATGGTGAAAGTTTTTCTTTTTGGGGCCACCCTGCCTTGGTGGGAATCGGCCAGTGTGATAATAATAAAAAAAAAAAATAAGTGAAGTAAATAAATATATATGATCATTCTTGTTATCTGTTGACACTTTCTGATTCCATCTTAATTTTGTTCAATATTTTTCGTTTTTTCAAAGTTCAGCCTTTTTCTAGTTTCTGAGGCATATAATCTTTACAGATAATTTACTTTATTTTCAGAAGCAAAGAACAAAAAGAACTTGTCTCATCATGCAAATCATAAGTTAGAAGAAGCTGAAGAAGAGGAAGACGATGATGAGGATATGGAGGTAGTGAAAACTAATTTATATGGTATCCCTGTATGGCTTCCCTAATGCTAGCATGTTTAATTTTTTATCGGTGTAGTACTGTCCTGAACAGCATTGTTGTTAATATATTTGTCATGAAAGAATTAAGTGACCTAAAATATTCTCTAGGTAAACAATGTTTAGCTACAAACAGCAAAACAGTTAAATTGTCAGGCTTTATAGTTAGGAATTTTGAGTATAGAGGTTCAGAAATAATATTAACACTAATGTACTTGTCAGACATTAACTTAAATAAGTTCTCCAGTTGTGGGAATGACAGAGGGTGGTGAAAGAAGGGCACTAAAACTCATCTTCATATACAGCCTCTCCTCACTTAGCGATGTGCTCATTTACTGACAACTCGGACTTACGACAGGCTCTCTGACCAGTATGCATACCTCTATTCTGTTTATTACAATATACAGTACACTGCTGTATAAACATTTAAAATGTACTAAAAATAGTGCAAAAGTGATATTAAAAGAATATCAAAGATAAATGGTGCAAGGTTGACATTAAAACAATATCAAAGATGGTGGACACAAACCCACTACCATTTTAGTATGCTCCTTGCTTAGTGATGAATTCATTTACTGATGTGGTCATACGTACAGAACCCTGTTGTTAAGTGAGGAGAGACTGTATTTTCTTGTGAAACAGGTTTTGAATCTAATTCAACCTTTAAAATGTGGTGCTAAGCAAATTCATACACTACTTGAAAATTAACTTTGTTTCTGTTTATAGTAAGGATTACTGTCTTGTTTTACTAGTGATTAAGGTGCAAGTTTAGTAATTTGCTAATGACTTATATATGTCTGTTAACACTGTCTAGCAGTACAGTGCGTACTTTCTTGTTGAAAGGAAATTAACCTTGATCCAGTATTTCACTATATAAAACCAATTAATTTTTATGTTTTAACAGATTGAGGAGATAGATAGTGATGAATGGGAGGGAGAAGCAGTGGAATTGCTAGATTGCCTGTTTTGTTCCCATCATGCCAACACGCTAGAGGATGAATTGCATCACATGACGGAAAAACATTCTTTCTTCATTCCAGACCTAGAATATTGTGTTGATGTGGCTGGCCTCATCACTTACCTTGGTGAAAAAGTAAGAAATATTATACTTTAATTTTAAATTATACATTAAAGGAGTGGTGAAGGAGAGCAAAAGGAGAGCCATTGAGAGAATAGGTGAGGCTCTTATCAGCAAATTTTGCCAAGGTGAAGAATTGGTTTTGCAGGGAGATTAATGAGTTGAGGGAGCCTAGGAAGAAAATGGACTTGGCAGCTAAAAATATTAAAGAGAGAGGTTAGATGTGTGGAATTAAAAGATAATGAATCTGATACTAAGTGAGAGTATCACAATTTTTCTGTGCTGAAGACCCAAGTTCTTTTGGGAGATTCTGAAGAGAATTTGCTAAGTTTGGTGGGTACATTTTGGAGATTTCATAAAAGAATTAAATTACAGATGAACCTAGAAAAAGAGCTAGGTGAAGCGAGATGGATTCAGATATTTGCGAGTGGGCTTGTCAGCAGACAGATCTATGAAGGATGAAGTGAACCATAGAAGAGAGAAGGGGGAAAAAGGTAGGTAGTGTGTTGAGACATAGGTGGAAAGAAAGAAGTTTATCTATGGAGACAAAAAAAGGAATGTACCAGAGTATACTGGTACCAACTCACATATGAGTGTGAGGCAGAGAATTTAACTGTTGCAGCAAAAAGGAGGTTGGAGGGAGGGAGATGTTTGAGAATAATGTGTGGTGTGAACATTATGCATAGAATTTGGGGCTTAGAAATTAGAAGATGGAGTGGAGTTTCTAAAAGTATAATTCAGAGGGCTGACAAGGGGTTGTTGAGATGAGTTGGACATTTGGAAATGGAACAGGTTAGTGTGACCAACAGGACTTATGAATCTGGGGTGGAAGGAAGGAAGGGTATGAAGGAGGAAGTAAAGGAGATTTTGCATGCTAGAAGCTTGAGCATGCAGTAGGCATGTGTAAGCATGTTAGTTTGGAGTGAATTCAGACAAGTGGTTTTTATAGTTTGAAGTGCTCTTTGATAGTGAACAAGGTAATATTTATGAAAGGATTAAGAAAAATTAGTTTGCCAGACTTGAGTCCTGGAGGCGGGAAGTACACTACCTGCACTTTGGAGGAGGGGTGTAGATGTTCCAGTTTGGAGGGTCATTTGAATTGTGATGTCTTCAAGACTGCTATTAAATAAATGATGGTGACTGTTTCCTTATTTTCTGGGTCACGATAATGGTGGGAGACAGCTGGCATGCTACAAAGCTGTAGTGAAACATTTATTGTTGTATATGTTAATTTTAGTAATATTGTTTTTGAAAATATTCTACTAGCTAGACATTTACTACATATTATAAATTCACTTGAGGATTTGAATTACACATTGATAAAGTTATGATGTTGGTTATAATATTAGAAGAAAAAGAGCTTTTCAAGCTATTTCTTATCATATGTCATACATATAATATGGCTTTATATTTTATGCATCTAAGGCATCTGTCATTATCTAAATGCATTTGTATCTATATGTTTTAACTTGTGATGTCTATGCACTTCTGGAAAAATAGAGGATAAGTATTGATGCTGAATGTTTTCCCTTGGGTCGCCCTATATATATGGTAGATTGGGTGCGGATTCGAGTGTATTGCATGTAAGTGGACTGCTCGCCGCTCCCCAACATTGGACTCCATACGCAAACACATTATAGACAAGGGGCATTGCAAAATAGTACTTGAGGGTGAGACTTTGTTGGAGCTTGCTGATTTCTATGACTATTCTTCATCTTACCCAGATGCAGGTGAGTATTTATGCTCAGTGTCTTCTTATATGCAGTGAATTTTAGTTATACTGTCTTTAAGAGAAGTATTTGCTTGTGGTCTATGGTACTTTGCTTTATAATACATAGTATGTTAGGCTGGTTATATGGAGTTAGTGTTGCTTATTTATGTATACTGTAATCCCTTGTATAATGCAAAATCAGTGTTATTTTGTTGCATCAGGATTGAAAAATTTTGTATCACACCATAAAATCTTGATATTATATGCTATGAAGTATCAAAGAATCAGTATAGCATCAGGTTCCATGCAAAATTTGGGTACAATGCTCATGGAATCTTTTCCTCTGACCCAAGTTGGACCAAGGTGTCAAATGTTTGGAAAGGCACACCTCTCCTCTCCCACTGTCACCCATGCTACTTAGTTGTTTTCAGGGAGCGTCGCCTGGCTTACATATTATTTATTAAACGATTTTGGATATTTTTAGTCATGCCATCTCTATTGGGTATTAACCATGGTACCAAAGAGGAATAATAGTGATTTTGGAAGTGCCAAGAAGAAGAAGAATAAGTGTGAACCTCTGTTTTAAAGATAGTGTCAATTTTAGATATACAGTGGACCCCCGCATAACGATTACCTCCGAATGCGACCAATTATGTAAGTGTATTTATGTAAGTGCGTTTGTACGTGTATGTTTGGGGGTCTGAAATGGACTAATCTACTTCACAATATTTCTTATGGGAACAAATTTGGTCAGTAATGGCACCTGAACATACTTCTGGAGTGAAAAAATATCGTTAACCGGGGGTCCACTGTACTTCAATATGGTGCACATTTGATGTAGACTATCCACACTTTTTATGTGAGAGAATCAATCATTCTTACAATTAGAGACAGTGAGAACAAAATAAGAACTTGAGCAGCGAGTAGTGCAAATTATGACCTGCTATAATTGTCAAAAAATTTATTGAGAGAAAAATTACTGAATGTGTGGACTGAGGAAAAAATAAAAAATTGGCCCTGCTTAGTTCTCAAATAATAAGGTACAAAGCCCTTTCCTACTTTAAAATTGTTTGTTGAATGGTTGAAGCATTACTTAATTCCTTCAGTAAAGCTGCACCTGGCCTGAAAGAACCTTTCATTCAAAGGCCTCTCAGTCTTGATAATTCCCATAGTCATCCTCCAGTCTTGTGGTATTTGGATCCAAACATGAATTTTGTGTTTTTACCACTTGCTATTTCATTTTTGATAAAATCGCTGGATAGAGGAGTTACTAAAGGATTGAAGTCCCACTACACACTAGGTAATCGAAAAACTAATCGCAACAGTGGAAGACGGTCCTAAGATTGGCATGCCAGTGTTCTGGTCTAAATTTAAAATTACAGATGCACATACCATATTCATTCAATCACTGTCTTGCCAGAAATGTTCTGACATCTGAATTCGAGTAACCTTATAATCTCAACATCCCTCCTTTAGAGTGCAGGCAGTGCCCTTCCCACCTCCAGGACTCAGGTTTGGCAAGCTGGTTTTCCTGATTCCTTTCATAAATATTATCTTGCTCACACCAACAGTATGTCAAGCATTAAAAAAACCACTTGTCTGCACCAGCTTCTGTCTGACACACTCTCACAAGCCTGCTGGATGCTTAAGCCCTTAGCACTCAAAACCTCCTCCACCTCCTTTCTTTCACCCCAGATATAGAAATGATTTTCATCATCAGTCCTCTCTTAATGTTCAAACCACCTCAACAGCCCCTCCTTTAGTGACTCCACACTGTCATCTAATTCTACTCTGAATTCTCTGCATTATATTCTCAACAAACATTGTTCTTAAACATGACACACTTCTGCCTCTAGCCTGTTCTCCACTGCAGTGTGCAAAGCTCATGTCTTGCACCCTTGTAAAAGTGTTGGTACCACTATACTTTGATACATTCCAGTTTATATTATCCTTTGTAACTTCTTGTACACTCCATAGAGATGCATTTGATTTTTTATATTTTTTGTCTGTGTGACAAAAATGTTAGAACATCATTAGCATCATTTCTGTACCTTAATTCAGACATATAGCTAGGTGAAATTCTTGTAAATATAAGCTATATGACTGATGCACCTCTGTTTTTATATTATGTAGGTGAGGGAGCAGCAAGTGATGAGGAAGTACAGCAGGCAGTTATACAAGGAGATGGCTTTGAACTGGTACTGCCTTCTGGAGCTACCATTGGCCATCGGTCACTCTGCAGATATTATCGGTGAGTTACTTAATCCTTTACTGTAATAGACATAGTATTAGTGGATTACACTGATTTAATAACCAAGAGCTTCATTCATATAATGAACAATGGTAATTGGTCATGGCAGGATATGAGTTCTCATTGAAACAACTGAGTGGAGTAAAAGAGGCATGGGAAAAATGTTTCTTCATCATACACAACCTGCCTTGTGAGCCTTTCTTGCATACAGTGTCTTATGATCCTCTTGTTTGTAGTTGCACACATTCTTATGACCCTCTCATATATATTGTATCTGTATACAATGTTTTATGATTGTCTATTACATGAGAAGTTATGATAAAAGTGGCTGTTGCCTAATATTAAATTCATGTATTTTAAGTGTATGTAATGAGATATATCTGGATATTGATCACTTGAGTGACCTTTAGATACTCTACCTTACAGTAAAAGGAGATCTTTCCATCTATAATTACAGCCTTTTCTTAAAGCAGGTTATCTGTCATTTCTGTATGCTTTATTTCCAGCATGCATAAAAATGCATATTCATAGACTTCTAATAAAAATATTTTTTTCCAGGCAAAAGATAGATCCAAATCGTCGAGCTGTTGTTGTTAAGAAGAATGCCGGTACAGCTTTCCACAGTGTCATGGCAAAATATCGGGCACTGGGCTGGAATGGTGCTACAAGAGCAGACATTGTGAGGTATGACTAAATAATAAGTGAATATTTTGTCAATCTTTTACAGTACTTTCATAATGCTATTTTATACCTATTTATTAAATGTGCAGATGCCTCTGCATGTTTTGTAATTCAGGACCTTTCAATTTTCCACAGGGAAAGGTTGCCCTTTCCCAACTTAGTCAAATATTGTTTTATCCCAGTATCTTTGTGATTGCTAGTAATGTCATTAAACTTAATTAGTGACCAGTTTTTTTTTTTTTTTTTTTTTTTTCAACAAGTCGGCCGTCTCCCACCGAGGCAGGGTGACCCAAAAAAGAAAGAAAATCCCCAAAAAGAAAATACTTTCATCATCATTCAACACTTTCACCACACTCGCACATTATCACTGTTTTTGCAGAGGTGCTCAGAATACAACAGTCTAGAAGCATACACATATAAAGATACACAACATATCCCTCCAAACTGCCAATATCCCAAACCCCTCCTTTAAAGTGCAGGCATTGTACTTCCCATTTCCAGGACTCAAGTCCGACTATATGAAAATAACCGGTTTCCCTGAATCCCTTCACTAAATATTACCCTGCTCACACTCCAACAGATCGTCAGGTCCCAAGTACCATTCGTCTCCATTCACTCCTATCTAACACGCTCACGCACGCTTGCTGGAAGTCCAAGCCCCTTACCCACAAAACCTCCTTTACCCCCTCTCTCCAACCCTTTCGAGGACGACCCCTACCCCGCCTTCCTTCCCCTATAGATTTATATGCTTTCCATGTCATTCTACTTTGATCCATTCTCTCTAAATGACCAAACCACCTCAACAACCCCTCTTCTGCCCTCTGACTAATACTTTTATTAACTCCACACCTTCTCCTAATTTCCACACTCCGAATTTTCTGCATAATATTTACGCCACACATTGCCCTTAAACAGGACATCTCCACTGCCTCCAACCGTCTCCTCGCTGCTGCATTTACCACCCAAGCTTCACACCCATATAAGAGTGTTAGTACTACTATACTTTCATACATTCCCTTCTTTGCCTCCATAGATAACGTTTTTTGACTCCACATATACCTCAACGCACCACTCACCTTTTTTTCCCTCATCAATTCTATGATTAACCTCATCCTTCATAAATCCATCCGCCGACACGTCAACTCCCAAGTATCTGAAAACATTCACTTCTTCCATACTCCTCCTCCCCAATTTGATATCCAATTTTTCTTTATCTAAATCATTTGACACCCTCATCACCTTACTCTTTTCTATGTTCACTTTCAACTTTCTACCTTTACACACATTCCCAAACTCATCCACTAACCTTTGCAATTTTTCTTTAGAATCTCCCATAAGCACAGTATCATCAGCAAAAAGTAACTGTGTCAATTCCCATTTTGAATTTGATTCCCCATAATTTAATCCCACCCCTCTCCCAAACACCCTAGCATTTACTTCCTTAACAACCCCATCTATAAATATATTAAACAACCATGGTGACATTACACATCCCTGTCTAAGACCTACTTTTACCGGGAAGTAGTCTCCCTCTCTTCTACACACCCTAACCTGAGCCTCACTATCCTCATAAAAACTCTTTTCAGCATTTAATAACTTACCACCTATTCCATATACTTGCAACATCTGCCACATTGCTCCTCTATCCACTCTATCATATGCCTTTTCTAAATCCATAAATGCAATAAAAACTTCCCTATCTTTATCTAAATACTGTTCACATATATGCTTCAATGTAAACACCTGATCTACACATCCCCTACCCACTCTAAAACCTCCTTGCTCATCCGCAATCCTACATTCTGTCTTACCTCTAATTCTTTCAATTATAACCCTACCGTACACTTTTCCTGGTATACTCAGTAAGCTTATTCCTCTATAATTTTTACAGTCTCTTTTGTCCCCTTTCCCTTTATATAAAGGGACTATACATGCTCTCTGCCAATCCCTAGGTACCTTCCCCTCTTTCATACATTTATTAAACAAAAGTACCAACCACTCCAACACTATATCCCCCCCTGCTTTTAACATTTCTGTCATGATCCCATCAGTTCCAGCTGCTTTACCCCCTTTCATTTTACGTAATGCCTCACGTACCTCCCCCACACTTACATTCTGCTCTTCTTCACTCCTAAAAGATGGTATACCTAGTGACCAGTTAACTGTTTTAAATCAAACTTCAATTGCATATTTGGCCAGAATTTAATCTAAATCCTCCAGTCATCATTACTTGTTGTCTGAAGTGTTTGATACACATGAGAGTGGAGTGGCACCTAGCACTTTTCTGCAAGGCTTGTCTAATCATTCTGATAATTGCACATCTTGTGATTTTTCCTGTTTATCATAGACCATGTAGAACTCATTTCTGACCTCTCATTCAATACCTTAATGCCCTCTCTCTGGCTGCCTTCCTTTCTGAAAGTTGCACCTGTAATACAAACACTTTATGATTACTCAACTGAAATTGACTTAGTGCTCCAACTATGATTTCTTGCTTTCAAATCCTTGTGCTCACTTTCTGCACTTTTCTCGACCATTAACACCCTCTGCCATGCATTTTTTTAACCCTCCTGCACATACAGTGGACTCTCCTTTATCGGCCGTAATCCGTTCCAGAAGGTCGGCCTAAATCCGAAAAGGCCGAAAACCGAAATAATATTTCCCATAAGAATTAATGTAAATACAATTAATCCATTTCAGATACCCAAAAATATTAACAAAAAATACGTATTTTAAAGATTAACTATGGTTTTACATACAGAAAACAATGAGAAATAAATATAAAGCATAAATTTTAATGATAAATGAATATTACATACCTTTATTGAAGACTTGTTGGTGTATTGAAGAAGGCGAGGAGAGGGAGTTGGGGATTCCCAACTCCCTCTCCCCTCTATGTAGTGTAACCCCCCCCCCCCCCGGGCTATACATGTACTACACAGCCATATCCACTGAGTTGAATCGTTTTTGTCACTACCTCTAGATGCCATCATAAACAAAGGGAGAAGTAATAAATAATTCATGCCGAGAATTGTAAACAAACACATATGAAGGGCGATTACTGGGCGAAACACCAGATTCACAGTTTTCTCTAATGCTGAATCAGAGAAAACGTAATGTTTACTCTCCACCTGACTCTCCACTCGTCAGCATATAAACATTGCACGTTTATATGCTATATGCTATGTAACGTGTTTCTCATTATTTTGAAGAAAATGTCATAGATGGATTAATGAAAATGTCTATATTAACCTAAAATACGACAATGTGCCCAAGAGTGATTATTATTAAACATACATCGCATATAAACATTGCATGTTTTTATGTACTATGTAACGTGTTTCTTATATAATTTTGAAGAAAATATCATAGATGGATTAATGAAACTGTGTATATTAACCCTTAAACGGTCCAAATGTATATATACGTTTTTTCAACATCTGAAATATGTAAAAAAATGTAGATCATCTTTGTTTTACATTTGAAAACTTGTAAAAAACTTTTATCTACATTTTTTTTTTTTTTTTTGTGTGTGTTATATTTGAAAATATGTAAAAAAAAAGTAGATCTACTTTTGTAGCACTACGAATTTGAACGTTGATCTGTTTGGACCGTTTAAAGGTTTAACCTAAAATAAGACATTTAATGTGATCGAGTGATTTATTATGCGTCCAATACGCTGATCTCCGAAATAACGGCCGATAACCGGGATAGAATTTCGGCCAAAAAACGGGCAAAAACCAAATTGGCCAGTATCTGGAACGGCCAATAACCGACGGTCCACTGTACTTGGCTCTTTTTTTTTTTTAATACAATATAAAGAATTTACTCAGATCGCAGTCACTTTTCAAAATTTACTTAATGGTTGTAAGGCATAAAATCAAGACTGAAATGGCTTAATTAAATTACAATAATTATATTCATGGGGGAGGCACTTAACTTGAAAGAGTAGGTGGTAATCAGGTTTGACCTAAGGAAGGAGAAGGTAGCTCAAATTCCTTGGATTATGAGCCTTTCAGCATGGGCCAATTAAAGTTTTATACTAAATCATGACCTAAAGTATGTTATAAAGCATGACTGCACATCCCAAGTCAACTTGGATTTAGGAAGATTGTTTGTAACAGCTATTACATAGATCATTTGACAAAATAGAAGCTTTCAAAGAAACCCAAAACACACAAGTAGTCTACACCGACATTGCTAATGCATTTAACAAACGTGATGATGAAGTGATAACCCATAAAATAAGGTCAATATGTATAACTGGAAAAGTAGGAAAGCAGGTATTCAATTTTCTAACATACAAAACAGAGTAGTACAGTAGTAGTAAACAGAAAACTCTAGTTTTGGCAAAATAAAATGTTTATTTACCTCAAGAATCGGTCTAGAACTATTATTGTTGCACATCCTCACAGCAGACAAATAGAAACACTAACTAGCCACAGCTTCCTTTTCAAGGGAATTCCTTGATGAAGTGAAAGGTGAAAGACTCTTGATCCAAAGAATGAAATCTCTCCTCCATATTCTCAAATTTAATTTGAATGCCTCCCACCCTGTCTTTCCATACTCTTTTAGCCCCATAAAAGGATGTAAAAAGAGGTCACTGCCTCGTGTCTAACTTTTTTCCCATGTTCTTAATGGGTATGATGGTTATCACTCCTCCAGAGTGATAACCAGGTAGCAGGTAGCCCACCAGTGGAACATTGAGCAGCCATCTAACAGGCCCTCTGATAATAGAAGTACTACTGGAGGTTGCCTGCAGTTCAAGCTTGCCAGAGTGGCAGCTGAAGGTATATGGCTCTTGGCAGTCTTTCTGGTTGACTTTCCACCATTTTTATCTGGAAGACAATTGCTCTGTTGATGCTCTTGTCTAAACAGGCAGTTTCGTCAAGAATTGCTCATATAATTTTGTAGGTTCCGTGCTGGTGGGAACACCAAGTAGGGTAGGTGGTGGTTTCTGGGGACAGTGGCACAGCACACCATGGCCTTCATTTGATTAGAAA